TATGTCCCCAGGAGTAGATCTTCCTCAGGAGCAGGAAGTAGGTCCCTATTTTGTTCTGAGTAAAGAACCAATGGGCAGGGAAAGGTTCAGGAACAGTCACAGGAGTTCTCCCAAGATCTTAGTCATCTGACTGGCTTCCTCAGAAATCAGGCCCTTGTGAAACCCTGGAGCTTTACAATCTGTCCCAGGGCCCTTACAGACTTGTGTATTTCAGTGCACAGGCATCTTGTTGGCCTTGAATCAGCCCTCTGAGGGACTTTGGGAATCTGATGTTTTGTCTCCTATCTCTAAGCTGACCCCGGTGAACTTTGTGAATTGCTGTTAGGCCATGCCACTTTACTGCTCCATTGAAAACTGTCATACTCTGTAGAGCATAACTCGTGGGTTGAATGGGTGGCTCAGTGCTGAAGAGAACCTGTCTCTGTCCTCAGCTTACACACCAGCCCTAGCTTCAGTCAGGGGATCTGGTACCCTCTTCTGAATTCTGTTGCATCAGACATGCACATGATGCACATTGCAAACACTCATACACATTACATTTTTATTTTTTATTTTTTTTAAGATGGGAACCTCTGCTAATCCCAAAGATTAGAGGAGAAAGACCATCAACCCAAATCATCATGGTCCAATTAAAGCAAGCAAAGCAAACTTGTGTACATGGGCTCCCTCCTCCTAAGGCAGGATGTAACGAAGACAAGGTTTTATAGGTCAGGAGTAGGGGGTTACAGAAGCATGACGTCAGCATAAGAAGTCATTAAGGACCTCCTAATCCAAAGAAGGTAATCATAGGTGTTATACAACCGTTCGAAACAAAGACAGGGTTGCAAGATAGTTACAAGTAACCTTTTGAAACAAAGAGGTGATTACCATTCCTGGAACAGGCAGTACAGATCCACCTGTAGTTAAGGTTACAGGGGAAGCCTAGCTGAATCCTTGAAAGACAGGTTTAAGCTGGGCGGTGGTGGCGCATGCCTTTAATCCCAGCACTTGGGAGGCAGAGGCAGGCAGATTTCTGAGTTCGAGGCCAGCCTGGTCTACAGAGTGAGTTCCAGGACAGCCAGGGCTACACAGAGAAACCCTGTCTCGAAAAAAAACCAAGAAAAAAAAAAAAAAGACAGGTTTAATCATAAGCAGGAACGGATCTAGTTTGTCTTTACTGTAAAATGGCTTTTAAGCCTAAAATGGAGGCAGGTTAGTTCTTTAGTAGTCATAACTTCAGGTAGTCATAACAACCTTCTGAAACAGAGGTAGGCTTTCAAGATGGTGATAAACTGTTTTTTTGAAACAAAGGCATGGTTGCCATTTCCTGGAACAGGCAGTACAGAGCCATCTGTAGTTAAGGTTACAGGTGGGGCATGGCCCAATCCTGAGAAACAGATTGAATCATAAACAGGAATGAGCCTAGTTTTGTCTTTGCTATGGCTTTCAGGCCTCGGATGGAGGCAGCTGGATCATCAATGCCTGTTAGCCTTAGAGCTTCTGCTTACATTGCTTTTTACAGAGTGAAGGGTTCTCTGTTCCTTTCCTTCACTGAGAATTCAGCTGAGACAGTTAAAACTCAAATCTATGAGATTTGAAGAGGACTTATCCAAAACAACTGACATAAATAGCCTGTTGTGTTCTACCTAGTGGATTTTTAAGTTTAAGGAAGATTGTGAGGTGGAAGGCATATTTATGGGTGTAAGATGCCTCCCTTTCACCTTCCCTCATGATGGATCATGTTGGGGGTCCAGGAACCCCTCCAGAGTAGTTTGGATTCCAGAGGTGAGCCACCCCAACCAACTTCAAATTTCTGTTCCCAGTCCTATCAGGAGCTAATGCCCACAAACCACATGGACACTGATCTCTCTCTGTCAGACAGGGATGGTTTACTGAGCACACACCCTGAAACTGATTTTTCTCTGTCAGCTTATAAAGGCTAAAACTACAAAAACCACAATGAGCTCATATGCAGGTGCAGGAAGTGCTGCCCAATGGTCAGCTCTGACACAAGCTATTTTAGTCATAACAATTTATACTGACCTTTAATTTGATGGTTCCTACATAAAGCTTTGTGGAATTTCTTAAGATTTTTTTTTTGACAACCTCATACAGAACAGGATATATGATCAGCATGATCTTGCTGTGCGACAAGTTATTTTTGTGTGTCAATGACTGGCAGTCATATTACAGTAACAATATGAAATAGCTGGCAGGCATGGAACAAAATGGCTACAGCTATGCTGGGGAGGGGACAAGCCTCAACAGATCAGACCTTTTTAGGTTATTTCTTTCCACATTACTCTTGAAAAGCCCACAAACAGGGAGGGGGAGGAATCAAAACCACAGTAACGATGGAGTCTTTGAGAAGGCAAACCTTCCTTGATGCAAGTGCTGTAGGGCTATAGTTTCTTAAACAATCAAAACCTAACTGCCACTTTAAGAATATTTAATTAGGGTTGGAGAGGTTAATTAGGGTTTACCGCTCTTGCAGGAGACTTGGTTTGGTTCCCAGTACCTATATGGTGGCTCACAACTGTCTGTTACTCCAGCTCCAGAAGATCCGATGCCCTCTCCTGACCTCCCAGGGCTCCTGCTGGACTGTGGTACACATGCATGTACCCAGATGTGCACAAACACACATTAAAAGAAAAAAGTTTTAAAACGTTAAGAAGCTAGAGAGGTGGCTGCTCTTCGGAGGCACAGGGTTTGGTTCCCAGCACCCACGTGCATCCCTCACATCTGACTGAGTGCGCCTCAGGAGATCCGACGCCTTCTTTTGGCCTATTTGGGCATCTGCAAGTGTGTACACACACAGTCATGTATCTTTTAAAACAATAACCTTTAAAAAAGGCATTTAACTGCAAAGGAACATTCTGACCATCAGAAGACAGCTCTCACCGGCCAGCACTTGAGAGGCAGAGGCAGGTGGATTTCTGAGTTCGAGAGTCCAAGGCTAGCCTGGTCTACAGAGTGAGTTCCAGTACAGCCAGGGCTACACAGAGAAACCCTGTCTCGAAAAAACAAACAAACAAAAAACAAAAACAAAAAAACCCAACCAACCAACCAAACAAACAAAAAGACAGCTCTCAGGCTGTTTCTGCTGCCTCATGCCCTGCTTCCCTACACAGTCTGCTTGGTCCTCCGACTTCCCTTTTGAAATGGGGGCTTCTATCTTGCTGCCCAGGTGGCTTTGAACTCAGGATCTTCCAGAGTAGCTTGGATTCCAGAGGTGAGCCATCACATGTAACTTCAAATTTTGTTCCCAGTCCTATCTGGAGCTGATACCCATGGAAGTCACTAGATGATACTGGTAGTATCAGAAGTGTCTTTGGGACACAAACTGTCCTCTTTGCTTTTATCTTCCCGTCCTCCTTTTTTCTTTTTAAATTTTATTTATTTTTTAAAAGATTTTATTTTATGCATATGAGTATACACTGTCTCTGCCTTCAGACACACCAAAAGAGGACATTGGTTCCATTGCAGGTGGTTGTGAGTCACCATACGTGGTTGCTGGTAATTGAACTCAGGACCTCTGGAAGAGCAGTCAGTGCTCTTAACCGTTGAGCCATCTCTCTGGCTCCTTTATTATTCTTTTATTTAAAAAATTATATGTAGTCTCACTATGCAGGCCTGCCTGGCCTTCAGCTTACAGAAATCCACCTGCTTCTGCCTCCCCAGTGCTGAGTGGCACTATGCCCAGTTAAAAATACCTAGAGAGATAGGCAAGATAGTACTGTAGTATTGTAGAGTGGATTTGACCTTGGGCTATTTCCACCCACACTACCAGTTGTCAGAAATGCTTCCTTACTGTACAACGTAGGCAAATCGGTCCTCTCTAAACTATTTTTAAGCGTGTGTGTGTGTGTGTGTGTGTGTAAAGTGAAGTCGTGATCCTTTGTGCTGAGCAAGTGTGACCAAGTGTGTAAAACAGCAAACTTACAAGGACGGGTACCAAAGCCAGGCACAGCAACTCCTGTCTACGGGGGTGCAGAACTAGAACTAGGCTCACCACTGGTTCTAAACTAACCAGGTTTACATAGTGAGCCTCTGACTCAAGTCAGAAACGACACACGGCAGTGGTGGATCTGGGCCATAGGCGGGCAAGCTGTCTGGCAGGGCAGTGGTCGGGAAGGCGACCCGAGAAAGAACGAAGAAGAAAAAAGGAGGGGAAAGAAGAGAGGAGGCAACAGGGCCCGCTCTCCAGGCGGGACGCCAGCGAGAGGCCCAGACCCGCGGGAGCGCACGTGGCCTACGGCGGCACAGCCATCTCCGTGAGGCGTCAAGATCCAGCAGCGGCGGAGCCCAGCTGAGGGTAGTTGGAACTCGGCTGCAGGGCCTTAAAGGCCGGGATAGGCATGTTCTGTTGGTTAGGAGTTTCCGGGCAGCCGACACCTCGAGTCCGGACTGCCCCTCCCGGGGCGGTTAGGGACAGAAGCCCGGGCCTCCGGCCTCTCCCCTAGGGGCGGGGCCAGTCGTGCGAGCCAATGAATGGCCGCCCCTGGGGCCCCGCCCCACCCCCGCCTCCGGAGCCGCGGCCTTCGCAGAACACCCAACCGCCCCTCGCCCAGGCCCGGGGCCGCACGAGCACCGAACCTCGGGCTGGTGAGTGCGCACTCCACCCCAGGGCCTCAGCTCCAGCGGGCCTCCAGCCCGTCCCTTGGCGCTCGGGTCGCCGACCCAGGCTCCGGGGAGTGACTCAGCGCGAGGAGGGTGGCAACTCGCGGGAGCTGGAGATTCGAACTGTTCAGGGCCCTGAATGTCGGGATGAGTGGGGTGAACGGGTGTCTTCCGAGCTGGGCCCTGGGCAGTGCCGGAGCGTGGGGCTGGGTTAGGGTGGATGGGAGAGGACTAGACTCGGAGCCTGGGCAGGGCGGGGGAAGCCACGGCTGCACCGCCTTGTCTGGGCCGGGGCCACGGTGGGGGTGGGGGTGGGGGTGGGGGGCGGGTCCTGAGCCTCTGATCCAGCGCCCCGCCTCAGGACACCAAGATGCCTGGCGAACAGCAGGCAGAGGAGGAGGAGGAGGAAGAGATGCAGGAGGAGATGGTGCTGCTGGTGAAGGGTGAGGAGGAGGAGGGTGAGGAGAAGTATGAGGTGGTGAAACTCAAGATCCCTGTGGATAACAAGGAGGTACGTGTTACACCCTGATCCCACACCCCCCCCCCCACCCTCGAACCTGTGCCAGGTTCAACATTCCCTCAGACAGAAATCAGAAATCCTGCCCCCGCCTTTTCCTGGATCTCAGATCTAGAAACTCAGAATTGGCCCATCCTTGTGCCCACTGTCCCTCCCGCGCCCCCGACCTGATTGGATAGATGTTTGGCCCACTGTGAGAGCCAGATGCCATGCTGAGTGCTGCTTGAGGCGCCGTGCTGAGTGTTTCCAGTCTCCATGCAGCTTGATGTCTGTAAACTCACAATCCTATATCCTGAGTCCAGATAAGGAGTAGCAAAGGCCAGAGGTGAGGGAAGATGAGGTCAGGCAACTGTAACAACAGCTACCTACCTCTTGCATAGTTTATGGTGCGCCAGATGCTATTCTAAGCACCTCCAATCTGGTTTGTTGGTAGTATTGACTCCACTTTATAGGTGAGGAACTGAGTCTAAGACAGTTGGTAACTGACCTCAGTGACTGCCCCAGACAGAAAGAACGGCTCTGTCAGTGGGGAGCTACGGGGCAGTAGTTCCCTCATACTGCAGCGCAGTTCCAGGCAGGTTGGTTGACAGACCACGCTGGGAATCTGGGTTTTCTTCTGAAGGTTTTCAGGACATCAGAATGAGTTAAAGCCTGCCATTTGAGACCCTAACTATCCCCAGCTTTTACTACTCAGAGCTGCCTGGGACCTAGGCTGTCCCTGCCTCAGTAGACTTGAGCTGGAGGGCTCTGGTTGCCTTGGGTCTTAGGGCCCACATCCCAGGGGATAAATTCTAGTTCTCCCTAGTGGAAATGATGAGGTGTTTTTGGGAAGGAGACCTGCTCTCTAGGCCCCGCTTCCACTGTTGACTATGAAGTCCTATTCTTTCTAGCCTTCTTGGCTTATCGTCTCCACCCAGCCTGACTTCAGACCCTGTGTACCCTTTGGTTTGAACATGAAGGACCTAGAGCTCCAGAGATTAATATGCACTTCCAGTCCCATCGCCTCCCACCAGCTGACAAGTCTCTTGGCCTTGTTAATTTTCCTTGCAGTACTAAGGATTGAACCAAGGCTTTACACGTCTGCACTACAGTCAAGCCCTTTTCTAGTGAGATAGGGTCTCAACCAAGTTGCACAGGTGGGCCTATAACTTATTCTATAGTCCAGGCAGGCAATCCTTTGACCTTGGCTTTGGGATTTCAGGCCTGAGAAAAGGTACTTGGCTTCTTCTCTGTGCCTCAGTTTCCTCATTCGTAAAGGGAGAGCATAGCAGCACTTACCTCTTGGAGATATAAAGACTAGTGACTATGTGAGTTAGAGCTACGTCTTGCACACAAGCAGTGTGTAAATAGTTCCATCTTTTCTTGGTGCATGTGGGTGAGTGGTATATGTGAATGTGTGTACCTGTGCATGTGCCAAAGCTGGGCAGGGACAGCAGGTGCCTGCCCCATTACTGTCCACCATATTCCCTTGACAGGGGTCTCTCACTGGACCTGGAGCTAGCCTGGTGGCCTGAAGTCCAACTGGTCTTCCCATACCCTCCTACCAGAGCACTGAGGGGTACAAGGCACATCTACCTGGGTTTTGTCCGTGTTTTTATTGGTTTTTTTTTTTTTTAGAATTATTTATTTTATGTATATGAGTACACTGTAGCTGTCTTCAGGCACAGCAGAAGAGGGCATCAGATCTCATTATAGATGGTTGTGAGCCACTATGTGGTTGCATGTATGCCTGCATGACAGAAGAGGGCATCAGATCCCATTACAGATGGTTTTGAGCCACCCTGTGATTTCTGGGAATTGAACTCAGGACCTCTGGAAGTGCAGCCAGTGCTCTTAACTGATGAGCCATCTCCCAGCCTGTGTTAAGAGGAGTCTTATTGTGTCTGGATAGCCCTGGATGGCCTATAACTTATAGGCCAGGATGGCCAGAAATCCACCTGCCTCTGCCTCCTGGGTGGAATTAAAGGTGTGTGCTACTATATTTGGCTCCAACTATTATGTTTGTTTGTTGTGTTCGTGAGTGTGTGCATGTGTGTGTAGCCACTCAGGTGGAGGTTAGAAGACACCTTCTGAGAGTCACTTCTCTTCTTCCACTGTGGGTTCCAGGGACGGAACTTGGTTCTTCAGGGCTACGTGACAAGCCCTGCCACCTGCTGACCCAACTTGCTGACCTGCCTGCTCATTTTTATCAAAGGCTTTTTTAGGCTGATCTCAGGCATTGGACAGAGTGAAGGCAAACTACTTAGGCAGTGGGAAAGAGTTCAGAAGCAGGTATTCAGTGTGGACCTTGAAGGTTTGTGTGGGGAGGGGAGGAAGGGCAGGAGTAAAGGCTCACGGAAGGTAATGCTAGAAGGCTTCATTGGGGCCAGACTGTGAAAGGCTGTTAAGCAGGACAGGGTAGCAGTTTGGGCATACTGTGTTCCATCTTGTGACATAGGAAGTCTTAAGCCAACTGATAAAAATAATTAGATTTTCTATTTAAAAGAACTCCTGGTAGGGCCTGGGGCTGTGTCCACCCATAGAGTTCTTGCCTTGCATGCAGAAAGTCCTGCTCCCCAGCACCACATAGTCAGGCATGCTGGCATATACTAGGGAGGTAGAGGAGGGAAGATCAGAAGTTCAGGGTCGGAACCAGAGAGATGCTTCTGGAGTTAAAAAAGTACTTGCTGCTCTTCCAGAGGACCTAGGTTTGACTCCTAGTACCCACATGATGGCTCACAATACCTGTAACTCCAGTTCTGAGAGATCTAGTGCCCTCTTCTGGTCTCCAGGGACACTAAGTATGTAGGCAAAACACTCAAACAGATCATGAATTTTTTTTTTTTTTAAGTTCCACATTATCCTCAGTAATGTAGTGGGTTTGAGGCCAGCTTAGGCTACATGAAACCCTATCTCAAAAATAACAACAAAAGTCCCTAACCAACCAAAAAACAAAAACAAAACAAGAAAACAAAAAACAAAAAACAAAACAAAACAAAAAACAACACTGGCTGCTAAGGTTAGTGGCCTGCTTTGAAGTAACAGCAGCTGTAGAGAAAAGGGTGTTTGGACTGAAACAGCTGAACCAAGGGATTAAGAGAACATTTATCGTGAAAGTCATCAAAGCTCCATTGGGCAAGACTGTATAGTCTCAGGTAGCAAGCAGATCCTAGCTCTACCATTTACCAACTTTGCCTCAGCTTCTTCAGTAATAAGATCACTGAGTGTGCTGGGCATGGTGGTGTACACCTTTAATGCCAGCATTCAGGAGGCAAAGACAGGACAGTGTCTGTGAGTTCAAGGCCAGCCTGGTCTACATATTGAGTTCTAGGACAGCCAGGACTTCATAGAGGGTCCCTGTCTCAAACAGATCAGAGCATCAGTCTGGGATCTGAGTACGTGGGTTACGAGGGCGAGCCAGCTGGAGGTTATAGACGGCACGTTTGCCCTTAGCCAACCAAGTAGCAGTGATTTGCTGCGTGGCCTCCCTTAGCTTCTTTTGTCCATGTCCATGTTATCTCAGAAGTGCCTTCCAGCCAGCACTGTGGTGTACACCTGTAATCCTCCCAGTTCTAGGGAGGCCAGGGCAGGAGGACTGCAAGTTCCAGGTCAACACGGTCTACATAGCAAGTGCCTGTCTGGGACATGGCATCCAGTACCAGTAGACTGATCGTTTCCTGTCAACAGCGGCTGTTCTTTGTTAAGAATGATGTCAAGGGGCTGTGGATGTAGCTCGGGGTAAAGCTGGTCTTACTGTGTGGTTCAGTCCCCAGGACTGGAGGAAAATACGCTTCAAGGACGCTACACTCAAGAGTTTGGAGTAGTCTTTGTCTGCCTGTCAAATTCTGATCCGTCTGAATTTTCAGTTATATTTATTTGTGTGAGTCTGAGTATCAGGTACAGTGGGTACCATGGTATGGGGTTACTATGGCACCTATGGCAGCCAGAGGACAACTTTACAAAAGGTGGTTCTTTCCTTCTACCAAGGTGGGTCTTAGGGATTAGACTCAAGTCATCAAGCTTAGCAACAAGTGCTCTCGCCAGCTGGCACCCACCTCAGACACACCTGACCCTGAACTAGGCTGTGTGGTTCAGTCCACAGACTCTTTGTCCGCTGTGCACCCGCTCTCTCTGGTGTACTCTTCTCACCTGCAGACTAGATGGCTTCACTTTACACTTACTTATTGAGATGGGATCCCCTCATGTATGGTGCTTAGACAGACTTTGAACTTGTGATCCTCCTGCTTCAGCTTCCAGATGGCTGGGCTTGCAGGAGTTTGGATTACTGTCCACCACAAGTGTTTGGACCTAATGTTAAACATGCAGGCAGATCACTGTGAACTTGATAAAGTGAAAGTTTTTGTTTCTGCAATGCTGAATTGAATGTAGGGTCTTGTGCAGATTGGGTACCACCGAGCTATATCACCAGCATAAGATGAAGATTAAAAAAAAATCTTAAGATTTTTTTTCATTGCCAGGCAGTTGTGGCCCATGCCTTTAATCCCAGTGCTCGGGAGGCAGAGGCAGGCAGATCTTTGAGTTTGAGGCCAGCCTGGTCTACTGGAACATAGTAAGTTCCAATTAGGGCTACACAGGGAAACCTGTCTTAAAGATAACAAACAACGAAACCAAAACCAAAAAGAGATTCATTTTTATGTGGAAAAGTGTTTTGCCTGCATGTATGTATACATATGTGCAATACCCACAGAGGCCAGAAGAGGGCGTTGGAACTCCTGTAATTGAAGTTTTAGATACTTGTGAACTACCACGTGGGTTACAGGAACTCAATCCAGGTCCCGTGCTACAGTGGCCAGCACTCTTAACCACAGAGCAGTCTCTTTAATCCCTAAAAGGAAGATTATGACACAGTAAATCTTTAGTGAGGCTTGAGATTCATGCTGTCCTTGAACTAGAACTGAAGAACTAGAATTCCTGATTCTCCTGCCTCTACCTCATAAGTGCTGAAATTATAGGCTTGGAGCTGGCTGGAACTCACTATATAGTGGAGTCTGACCTTGAATTTCTGCCTTCTGCATCTACCTCCTGAGTGCTGGATTCCAGTCGCATGTCCTCACGGCTGGTATATGCAGGGCTGGAGAGTGGGCCTAGGGATTCCTGTATGCTAAGTGACCACTCTACCAACTGACCTGTATCCCCAGCCTTTGAGTGTGAATTTTTCACAAGTGCCCAGTGATTCTGATGTGGCTAGACTTGTAGTGAGGAACTCGCTCTTGGGGGTTGTTTTATACTCTGCAGGAAAAGATGAAGATTTGATGAAGGGTTTGGGGAGGAGATAAGCAGTTCACGTGACTTCACACCCATGGCTAGGGTTGCTTCACGACTAAGAATGACAGACTTGAATTCAGTCCTTGGTTCTGCCATTTGTTAGCTGTATGGCCTCGGGGGATCAGTTGATGTCTGTATCTAATTTCTTCATTCATGATGGGGCTGGAGAACTTAACACAAAGGATTGTGAGATTTTCATTTGCTTATTTTGAGACAGGGTCTCACTGTATAGCCCAGGCTAGCCTCAAGCTCATGATATTCTTGCCTCAGCTACTCAAATGCTAGGAGGCTAGTCACTACCCCGGCCTTATCCATGTCTCGGGAGCTAGACTCCAACCACTACTAAGCTTCTTCTCCGGGTGCCCAAGGCCCCTCCTGCTGGGCTGGAGACAGTGATGACTAATGGAAAGGAGAAGCCATAAGTCATAAGTCAGAGAAGCCAGTGTGAGGAGGCCCCCAGGCTGGGCAGTGACAACTGGGGGAGAGTCTAAAAAAAGGTCATCTCCACTGTGGTGTTGAACAGACTCGGAGATGTCACAGCCAGGGCAAGGGAGGAAGTGTGGCCTTGGAGAACTTCAGACGGACTTCCCACAGTATTACTTTAACATGGAGGCTTTCTTGGAGAAAGATAGAGACTGAGAGAGGGGCTACTGTGAGTTCAGGGGAGAGTGGCACCTTCTCATGCTTTGTCAACTCAGTCTCTCTAAGTTTTGGTATTCTCTGCTGTCTGGAGATAACCCTGTGATCCCTGTACTCAGCAGGTGGAGGTAGGAGGATTTCAAGTTCCAGGCTAGCCTGGGCTATATGACAAGGTAAGAAACTCTCTCAAAACAAAACAAAAAAAAGCAAAAACAAAATAACCCTTTGTAGTGGAACACACTTGTAATCTAGCAGTCAGGAGGCAGAGGCTGGATTGTCTATAAGTATGAGGCTAACCTGAGCTATACATGAAGATACTGTCCCACCTGACTGAGGGATATCAGGAAGACTTACTGTTTTACTTAGCATACGTAAAACAATACCATCAAAGCCTGACATGGGGATCTTCGTTATAGAAGCCCCTTCACGGAGGGCAAGACAGGCACACCCTGCCACGGAAGCCTGAAGCCTTGAATGGGTTTGTGTGTGTGTGTGTGTGTGTGCACACATATTTTAATTAGGTTGTTGAGTCAGGTCTTGCTATATTCTCCAAGCTTGTTGAGAACTTGTGATCCTTTTGAGTGCTGGGATTATAGGTGTACTGTCATACCTAGACTATGTTTTTCCTTTAGGTATATGTCTATAATATAATTTAACTTCTAAATTAGGCACAGTAAGAGTTTAACAATAATAAAATAGAATCAGAACAATATGCTATAATAAAAGTTGTTTTAAACTTACAAATTGTTTATTTCTGGAATTTTCCATTTAATATTTTCAGACCATGACAGCTGGCAGCTGAAACAGGAAAATCAAGCCATGGTTAAAGGAAGACTATTGTTATTATTGTCATTATTAAAACCAGAGTTCTCTTGGTTGATTGCTAATTTCCCAAACTGTCATGTCTTCTAGTTCAAAACCACTTTCTAAAAAAAAAAAAAAACAACAACAAAAACCCACTTTTTAATTTTTTGTTTTGATTTGAGATAGGGTCTCACTGTGCAATCCTGGCTGGTCTGGAACTCTATGTAGATAAAGTTGTCCTTAAATCCACAAGAGATGTGCCTACCTCTGCCTGCTGAGTGCAAAGATTAAAGCCATGTGCCACCCTACCTGGCCCCAGAGTCCGTTTGTGACAAAGGGCTGATGGCCTTCAAGGTGCTCTACTACAGCTTCTGAAAGGGAAGGCCCTGTTCCTTGTGACTTACAGTGGACTGAATACAAGGCAGCATATGTCTTGTCCTGTGTGTCAGGTGATTCTTTGGTCATGAATTAATGGGTTTTGTGTGTGTGTGTGTATGTATTTTTAAAGACAGGGTCTTTGTAATCCTGACTGTCCTGAAATTTGCTATGTAAACCAGGCTAGCCTTGAACTCACAGAGATCCTTCTGCTTCTGCCTCCCAAGTACTAGGATTAAAGGTCTGCACCATCGAGCCCAGAATGAATTAATGTTTTTAATTGCTTGGTTCACAGTACTCGTTAGTTTTTCTAGGGGATCACTCCACTGCCCGCTCTACCCCCATCCATCTCTCCCAGTCCTCCCCATCAAGAGGAAAACTAAACCTCATTCACAAACTTCCTTTATGGATAGAAAGTTGTGTCATGCTCTCATCTATCTACACGTGGTATTTTCCCTTTTACTGGAAGAGGGGAATGTGCCTTTAATGTCCTCTTTACTCTTTTGTTCAAAACGTTCCCCCTTCACCTCCTCCTGACACGGCTTTCTTCCCTTTTCCCAAGTGTATCTCTAGAGTCCAGACTGACTCATTTCAAGGTCTCAGAGCAACATTTGGCTTTTTCTCCACAGCTTAAGAAAGTTCTTGATCGAAAACTTGAAGATTCTGGGCCTGGCCAAGCTGTCCGTCCTGGCTTCTGCCCACACTTGCCAACTGTCCTTCTGCAATTCCCTGCAAGATCTCCCCAGTCTCTAGGCATTTAAAGGCTGAAAACCTCTCATCACCAGCCCTTCCTGAGTTCCATACAGCCCCAAGCAGATGATGATCTTCTTCTTCTCCTTTTTTTTTTTTTTTAAAAAAAACATTTATTTATCATGCATGAATACAGCGTTCTGCCTCCATGTCCTTCTGCAGGCCAGAAGAGGGCACCAGATGTCGTATAGATGGTTGTGAGCCACCATGTGGTTGTCTGGACTTGAACTCAGGACTCTGGAAGGGCTCATTGAGCCATTTCTCCAGCCCCAGATCTTATTTCTTACCTGGTTCCCCTCCATACATGGCAACTCCCATCTGTGCAGTTTCTGAGCCTAAACTCCTTAGTTACTTGGGGCCAGGCATGGTGGCCCACATCGTAATGGGAAGGGAGGCAGAGGCAAGCAGGTCTAACCCATAGTCATTTTGAGTCTTCATACTTTGAAGCCAGTTTGTTGCCATCTCTTATCTCAGCCTGTAAAGTGGAGAGAGAAGCAAGCCAACATCTCACTGGGTTTACTTTCTACTTGCTTCCTGGGCTTAGGCCAGGCCTTCTGTCAGATGAGTGCAGTAGCCTCCTCACCGAGCTCCTGCTTCTGTCTTCTCCTTCATTTGGGTTCCCAAAGAGTCTTTTAAAATGTGTGACCTTCACTGATCAAAATCCTCAGAAAGCCCTCATAGCGATTCTCCATTTCATTTACACTAACAGCCAAAGTCCTCCTTCCCAGGTCCTTAAATAAGACCCTCCTGTTTCCTTCCTCCTGCTAACTTAGTCTATCACAACGGTGTCTTCCTAGCCCTATGTAGATCTGCAGCATTCCAGCAATACCAGCAATTAACCCATTACTCTTGTAAGTAGGATTCCTCCAGGGTTCAGTCCTCACAGGGCTGAGGAAATTAGTAGGCAAGCGCTGTCACTGCTACATTACCAGCACTCGGGTTTTGAGACAGAGTCATCGTATGTATCCCAGGCTGGCCTGGATCGCCTGATTCTTCTATCTCACCTCTACGGTGTCAGTATTACAGACATCTGGCATTTTGTTATCTAATGTCAAATCCCCAGTGTCTCTAACTCACCTAGGACGTGCCCAATAAATTTTGTGAATTAATATAGATAACTATAATGTCACCTGATATTGTGATGTATTAAGTCATGTAAGTCATCATGGAGGCAGGCACAGTTCTGTTTTCCACAGATGGAGGAACTGAGGCTCAAAGAGTTTGCAGTGTGCAGGAGACCAAGGTTTCCGCTTGGGCCTCCAGGCTGACCTGTCCTCCATTTCCCTGCAGGTTGCCAGCCAGATGCCAGCACCGTCGGCCGACCCAGCGCGCCCCCACGCGTGCCCGGACTGCGGCCGCGCCTTTGCGCGCCGCTCCACACTAGCCAAACATGCGCGCACGCACACGGGCGAGCGTCCCTTTGCATGCACGGAGTGCGGCCGGTGCTTCTCGCAGAAGTCGGCGCTAACCAAGCACGGTCGCACGCACACGGGCGAGCGACCCTACCAGTGCCCAGAATGCGACAAGCGCTTCTCCGCCGCCTCGAACCTGCGGCAGCACCGGCGGCGTCACACGGGCGAGAAGCCGTACGCATGCGCACACTGCGGCCGGCGGTTTGCGCAGAGCTCCAATTACGCGCAGCATCTGCGCGTGCACACGGGCGAGAAGCCTTACGCGTGCCCGGACTGCGGACGAGCCTTCGGCGGAAGTTCGTGCCTGGCGCGCCACCGACGCACGCACACGGGCGAGCGCCCGTACGCATGCGCCGACTGCGGCACGCGCTTCGCTCAGAGCTCGGCGCTGGCCAAGCACCGGCGCGTGCACACGGGCGAGAAGCCGCACCGCTGCGCCGTGTGCGGCCGGCGCTTCGGCCACCGTTCCAACCTGGCGGAGCATGCGCGCACGCATACGGGCGAGCGGCCCTACCCGTGCACGGAGTGCGGCCGGCGCTTCCGCCTCAGCTCACATTTCATCCGCCACCGTCGCGCGCACATGCGGCGCCGCCTCTACATCTGCGCGGGCTGCGGCCGAGACTTCAAGCTACCCGCCAGTGCCACAGCCGCCACGCCCACCGAGCGCTGCCCGGAGTGCGAGGGCAGCTGAGCCACGGCGGGGCAGCGAGGGGCACTTGGGACTTGCACCTGAATTGTTCCTTCCATGCCTGCTCCTGGGTCGGGGTGCTCTGGGACTGGGCGAAAGGGAGTGCCCTACCGGGGTCCCTAGAACCATGCCTCGTCCCCAACTACATTCCCTTGGCCCTTCTGAGTGAATAAAGTATTCTATCCTCACCTCACGATGCCTGTAAGTGAGGTGGGTGGGAAGGGGAACTCTAGGTATGGAACCAAATGGGCTATAAAATAACCTGGGATAGGGAGACCCACACACCTGGCTGGCTATCCCTCAATCTCAGTTCTGAAAAGAAACAGGACTTGTTCTTGACTAGATGATTGTGTTTTGCAGTCTTTGAGGGTCGATATGGCAAAGGAGAGAAATGGGGCTATGTAAATAGATTTAAGGACTTCCTTATGTAAGTACATTAGCGCCCCACCACCACCATTTAATTAACCCTAAGCTGACCCAGTACTCACTATATATACCAGGCTTGAACTTTTGGGGATCCTCTGAATCTTGAGGTTGCAAACATGCACCATCACAGCTAGTTTCAAGCCTCATTTTATGTCCACCTTTGCAGACAGTTGGTGAATGGTACAGCAGGAACTGAATACCATTCGTCAAAGAAACTGATGATCACTGGATTTAAATTTAAAAAAAAAATTGCAAAGGATTTGGGCTCCATCCTAAGCACCTACATAGTTTAACAGGCATCCATAACTTCAGTTCTAGGGGACCCAAAGCCCTGACGTCTGACATGGTACACAGACACACAATATACACACAAGATATACACATAAAAAATAGTTTTGGGCCGGGCAGTGGTGGCGCACGCCTTTGATCCCAGCACTTGGGAGGCAGAGGCAGGCAGATTTCTGAGTTCGAGGCCAGCCTGGTCTACAGAGTGAATCCCAGGACAGCCAGGGCTATATAGAGAAACCCTGTCTTGAACCCCCTCCCCCCGCAAAAAAAGTTTTGGTTTGTAGCCAAAGCCATCCTCAAACTTAAGTCTTTCTGTCTCAGCCTCCTTAATGCTGGGGTTACAGGTGCTACAGGTAACCATCCCCCAAAGTAATTGAAAAAAAAATTTTTTTTTTTGGTTTTTCGAGACAGGGTTTCTCTGTGTAGCCCTGGCTGTCCTGGAACTCACTCTGTAGACCAGGCTGGCCTCGAACTCAGAAATCCACCTGCCTCTGCCTCCCAAGTGCTGGGATTAAAGGCGTGCGCCACCACCGCCCGGCAATTTAAAAAATTATTAGGAGATGAGATGGGGGACAGTGAGCCATGTGTGTGGAGGTCAGAGGGCAAATCCCAGGAACTGGCTTTCTCCCTCTACCATGTGGATCTCTGGGATAGTGTGGGTCATTGGTCTTGATGGCATGTACTTTACTTGATGAACCATCTTGTAAGCCTGGAAGCACTATTTCTGTTTTTAAATTAATAAGTGTGTAGATTTGTGCATACTTGAATGCAGGTGCCAGCCAAATTGGGAAGATTGAGTAAGATTTAGAGCTAGTGTTATGTAATTCTAAGCCGCCTGATGTGGGCTGGCAACAAGACTTCAGACCTCTGCAAGAGCATTAAGTGCTAAGTGTGTTGGTGCACGCCTTTAATCTCAGCACTTGGGAGGCAGAGGCAGATGGATCTCCAAAGAGATGGAGTCCAAAGCCAACCTGGCCTACATAGCAAGTTCCAGGTTAGCCAACAATACGTAGAGACCTTGTCTCAACAAACAGACTTGAGAGAGAGAGAGAGAGAGAGAGAGAGAGAGAGAGAGAGAGAGAGAGAGAGAGAGAGAGAGAGAGAGAGAGAGGCAGCAAGTGACTTAACTGCTGAGCCATCTCTCCGGCCCCAGAAGCCATGTTGTAAGACTTGTCAGGTGAAGGAAAGGGAGCTGGAGCCCCAGAGACAAACCGGGGGTTGCAAATTTGATTAAATACAGGGACAAAGGAGAGAATAAAATCCAATGTTTTAATAGTCAGTGGTGGGAATGTAAAAGTAAGCCATTTTTAATCTGACGAATGCTTTTCTCTGGGAAGCATGAGGGGTCATTAGAGAAGGAGGCAGACACCACCACACTGCCACCACTGGTCTCTCTACAGTCCCTCACCTTTTGGGAGGCAGTCGTAGGTGTCTCAGGGGACATAATGTGCTCACACACCACATAAACTGTTCATTCAACACCATCTATCTGATAAGGAAGAACAGAAATTGGCCAGGTAAGGGAGGTGGGTGGTCTGTACTTATACAAGGGGACCAAGGAAAGGAAGTTGTATTCTGCACTCATCAAAGACTTGTGGCCCATATTTACTTCTTGCTCTCTGCTTCTGCAAGTTTTAAGGTGAAAAGGCAAAACAGCAACTGTTTTACACTGGACAGAGCCCTGCTTCTCTGCAGGATTTGAGATATTCTACTCAAGAAAAATCCAGGCGTTGTGACCTTAAGTCATTTTATTGAGACAGAAAACACTCTGGTCCAGACCTATGATTAGCACTGTGTTTCTAGGTGGAAGCCTGGTTTCTCAACTCAGAGGCAGGGTCTTCAGCCCCCACAGCCTGGTTTTCAGAGATGGTCCCACGGGGCAAGTCTGTGTACTTGCAGGCAGAACCTCGGGACAGATGGACTGGGTAACGTCGGCGGTTGGTGTCCATTTTGGAGATTACTGCTTGAGGTAAATCCACATGACAGCGGGCTGCTAATGCTACCAGGTAGATGAGGACATCACTAAGCTCCTCTTGAAGGGCTGCTCGCTCCTTTGGCGGCCATGCCTGAGGACCAGGCTCTGCATCAGACTTCCACTGACTAGAGAGAGAACAGGACAGACACATCAGCTGGCTAGGTTAGTGGGCCTGTCTATATAAAGTTTCACACGACCACAGCCCAGAAAATCCCTCCAAGGTCAATCTACGTGCCCAGGCCCTGAGTAGGGCCAGGCAGGAAAGGGACTTTAACAGATAACAGCCAGACCCCCATGACTCTCCTTAAGCCACCAAGTGACCAAGAGAACACTTGCTGAGACACTCCAAGGTCCAGCTCTACTTCTCAGCAGCCCTAGCAGCTGTCACTGCAAAGCAAACCCCAGACCTGAGTCACCGCAGGAATTCACTTTCCTCTTAACTCCTCTCTACCCAGTCCTCTCCCACCCGAAGCCACCATTACCTCTTCTGTTTGTGTTCACTCCTCCTCCTACTATGAGCACTGCCCCTCATCCTCCTGGATTTCCCCTTCTTGATACTTAGGTCTCAATTCAGAGGTCACCATCTCAGAAACTCTTACTTTCTCATCTTGTGTTATTCTCCCCTTCCACTCCCAAGACAGGCTCTTATGTAGCTCAGGTTTCAGAGTCTCCATGTGGCCAAGGAAGAACACCCAATCCCCCTGCCTCTGCCTCTCAAGGGCTGTGGTTACATCACACACCACCACATTTGACTTGATGTCCCCTTAACCCTTGTCACAGCTCCAGAGCACTTACAACTGTGTTACCAGTCTCCTTCCACCTGGAATGGAGGCTGTCTGGTCCAAGGCCCCATCTTTTAGTTCCAGGTGACCTAGCTCACAACTGAAGCTAATTCATCTGGCCCACCCTCGGATGCATCTTGTACGCCCTCTATCCTTCATCCCACAATGGCTGGCCAGATTTAGGTCCACACCAGCCTGCTCACTAGACTGCTCTAACCCATTTTTTCAGATGTCCAATCTGCCCTGCAGGCACAGAGATCTTTCTGCTACTCAGGTTAGATCAGACCTTCTGCCTGAACTCCAGCACTTTCTGGCTCCAATCTTATCAGCCTGTGTTTGCCTCCCCTCTGTCTTCCACAGTTGTATCTTCTTCATCATGCCTAGGATGGGCCAGATACTTGGCACACATACAAAATGCACCCTCTTTTTTAGAAAAGCTAATTTTGAATTGGATTCTCTCAGAATTTAACTTGCCCTTTCTCATCTCACTATTTTTTTAAGAGACAGATTTACTTATTCTGCAGACATATGTAAGCACCTGTTTGCACGTGTACTATGTATATGCAGGAGCCTCCACGGCCAGAATAGAGTGTCAGATCTCCTGAAACTGGAGCTATGGGAGGTTGTAACCTGGCACAGGGGTGCTGGGAACTGAATTCAGCTCTTCTGCAAGAGCAGTAAGTGCTCTTAAGCACTGAGACATCTCAGCAGCCCCACACCACCTTTGTAAAGGAAGTCTCCTGTCTGGCAGGAAGTAAGGCTACCTTTTAAAATTCCTTATTTCAGCTCTACACAGAGATAAGATGCTGGCAACAACTGTCCAACTCCCCCCTCCCCCCATACCTTCTTTTTTCCTTTGAAAAGGGTTTCTCTGTGTTCTCTGTACCCTGGCTGTCCTGAAACTCACGCTGTAGAGCAAGGCTGGCCTCAAACTTACATATCTACCTGCCTGCCTCCGGCATGCTGGGATTAAAGTCGTGCACCACCACAGCCCTGCTGACAACTGTTCCTTTTTAGTCCTCACTGTCTGTGCACTTTTACTCTCTTCTTGGAAACTAGTCCCAGCACCCTACAGGGCTCGGACTCAATCTGTCATTTCTGTATCCCCAGCAGCAGCACAGAATGCAGCACTAAGGAAAGGAAAACAACCCAGTTTTTGAGGCTCAAACACATTCCCCCAATCCCCAATGAGCCTCTTCCAGGAAGCCTTCCATCTACTCACAAGAGTTCTGCCAGCTCGCCCACTTCTCCCACCAAGGCTAGGAGCAGGTTCCGAGGCTGGTGGAACTGCTCCCAGTCCCGCTCAGCAGCAAACTCTGCATGGAGGCGTCGGCTGCAATAAAGTAAAGGGGTGGAGGTTCAAGTCTCAGGGTAAGAGGACAAGACGCTGGTACCCAGCATACATCAAGAAGGGCCATGGGACTAGGAATCCTACAGTCAAATGTCTTGGATGTCCTTAAGTTACTACCTTTTAACAAGACTTTCTTATCGTCAGGAAATGAACGTGCCCCTGTACAGATTCTAACCCCAAGCCAAATTTAGCAACAGCCTTTATTATTTCATTTTCCTACTGCCACTTTTCCCGGTACTCCACCTTAACGCCCCTATCTCCGCACACCTAGGTCTAGCTAAATCACAGGATGCCGTTTTTTTTTTTTTTTTTTTTTTTAAAGACACTGCCCACCAGGGCTTTCCTTGACATTCTGCAAGAAAAAAAAAACTTTCTATACTTCAGCTTCCCCTGTCCTACTACCCATCACTCCTGGGGTGCAGAGGTACTATCAGACTCTCTGTTATCTCTCCAAGGTTGTATTAAAGATTGGTACTTACATGCCCTGGGGCGTCACCCAATTTCCCCGGCCTCAGGTGTGCACTGTGCACATAAGGCTTAGCTAGGCTCTCCAGAGGTCCGCCAGGAGGGCCCGGATGGACTCGGGCATGTTGTTCTTGTGGACCACGTGGAGGGACCCTCCTCATTAAAACAAAAAGGTCAATTTCTCCACCCGAGGACGGACAAGTACTGCTTACATGTCCTCAAGCGTGGGCTCCGGGCTGAATCTGAACGGGCCGGCAGCAGCAGAGTCTTCTTGCCCCACATCACCGCGCTCACAGTCACCAGCCGCGGACATTCCGCCCACCAGTCCCAGCCGCGCGGGAGCAAACCCCGCGCCACGCTCGGAGCCGCCTCCTGGGTTCTGACCAATCACGGTTTCTCGGTGCGTTCCCGGGGCGGAGCCGGAGGATGACCCAATCATATACATGGATTTTTGCTACGGCCCGTCCCTTCTCCAGCCTGGACCAATGTGAAGGGAGTTTCAAGTGTGTTTTCTCCGTTTGTGCCCTCGACTTCTTCCGCCCAGGCGAAACTTCTTAAAGGGAAAGGTACAGATTCAATGTGGGAAAGATACTGAAGCAAAAAGCCTAATGCGACGTTGCTTGCTAATGGGCGCCAGATGGCGCCAAAGTGAAATGGCAGGCGCAGAGGAGGCGGGTCCACTGAGAGCAAAAACTCTACAAGTGAAGGATCCAGCGTGTGCTTGGTTACTTCACGTGGACAGTCTTCACACAATTTGAAAGAGGTTGATGAGAAAAAGTGCAGATTTCTAGAGAGGAGCACCCAGGCTTTGTAACCCATTTCAGCGTCCTACTCCAGTGGATTCCAGTGATCGGAAGCAATCCTACAGGGAGAGGAAGGCGTTCCTCCTCTTTACGTGCAGCATAGAATACATGACTCTGAAATTTGTGGCAGATAGATAGGTATGGCCTCTGCCCCCACGGGTCACTATCACAGCCTTACACAGTGCAGAAAAGGACACCAAACTCGTTTACATTGGCTAGTTTTTGAAGCCTTTTTAAAGACTTGTTTTTTTATTCTCTCTCCTTCATCCCCCGTATTTGCATGTATGTTTTTGGACCACTTGTGTGCCTGGTGCCAAAAGAAGATGTCGGATCCGCTGCAACTGAAGTTATAGACAGCTGTGAAATGCCAGTGGGAACTGGGACTAGAACCGTGGTCCTCTGCAAGAGCAACAAGGAGTCTTATCCTCGGAGCCATCTTTCCAGACCCGTAAGATTTTTCTTCTTCCTTAAGATCTACAAAGAAAGTTATGTGTATGCGTGTGTCCCCCATGTGTGCAATGGGTGTGTGCGCATGAGTACAGTTGTTGGCAAAGATCAGAGATGTCGAATCCCCTGGAGCTAGAGTTATCAGTGGTTCTGAATAACCAAACCCTGATCCCTCTGCAAGAGGAGCGAAGTTGTTGTGACAGGGTTTCACTGTATAGTCTTGGCTATCCTGAAACTCACTATGTAGACTAGGCTGGCTTCGAACTCACAGAGATCCATCTGCCTCTGCCTCCCTAGTGCTAGGATTAAAGGTATGTGCCACCACCACCAGGAAAGTAACAAAGGTTCTTAACTGCTGAGCTAACAGCACTGCACTCTCTTTCCCATTTTTTAAAGGTTCTAGAATTGAACCCAGAGACTTGACCGTGCTAGGCAAGTTCTGTACCCACGGAGCTACCCTAACTCTTCAGATTTTCCAATCTGAAAAAAAAATCACAGAGTGATTGACCATGACAGGAATGGAGTTACTCGAGAAGAGGGATTGTTTTGCTGACTCGGTTGGTTTGAGTTATTGAGGCAGGATATTACCTTGTAACTCTGGGACTCACTATGTAGCTCAGGGTACTGTCCAACTCATGCCAATCCCCCTGCATCACCTTCTAAGCACTGAAATTATAGGCATGAGGTATGGCTATACACATGAGGTTCATGTGTAGAGCCAGCTGTACAGGGGGCTGTTAATGTCCCTCAATTATAGTCACTCTTTCTGTTCTTCACTTTAGAAAAGGCTTGCATTTTTGTAGAAATGAAAGAAAAAGAAAGTGGAAGAAAGAGTCAGATTTTAGACACTAAGATCGGAGAGGAGACTGGATGTAGCTTAGTGGTAGAGGTTTGCATGCAGGGAGCCTTGGGTCAAACCCTAGCACCAAATTCATAAATAAAACCAAAAGGTGACGTGCTTTCCTGTTAGGTACAGATAGATGCCTCTGGCAAGCTAGTGCATAGATCTAAAGAGACAGAAACATGAAAGCCATCACAATTTTATTTGTAATAGTGAGGGCAGTTCAGAAGCCCTCAGAGGCGTGGATATGTTGAAGGCTGCTTACACAATGGGCATTGTTAGCAGTTCACACAGAGTGCAAGCAACAGAAACAATCCTGAACTGGTTTAAACAAGGCAAGGGATTCTGAAGCAAGAGTGGTCCGTGCTTGTAATCCTGTGACGCGCCGCCTCGCCGAAAAGGAGAACACGCCACACTTCAGGATTCTTCTGACACGCAGTTTACTTGTTACAGCTCTTTTAGATGGTGTTACAGCTCTCTTAGATGGTAGTGGCGAAGGACCCAGAGCCCCAGAACCCATGGGCTTATATAGAGTCCTGGGAGCACTTACTGCATGCTCATTGGCTCCTTAATGATGCCTAATTAGCATACTCGTTTCTCATTGGCTCTTAGAGTGCTCTTGGAGTGAGGCTTAATTAGCATAGTAATTTTTACTCTTTGCGCATGCGCATACTCGGCTTGGCTCTGACTGAAGCCAGAGCGCGGGAAGCCGGCGTGCCCTGCGCATGCGCGCTCCCATTCATGGCTCTGTCAGAGCCAAGAAGCAGGGAGCCGGCGCGCCTTACTCTGGCGCACTTTACCTCACGGCTCCCTCACGGGGCCGAGAGGCAGGGAACCAGTGCGCCTTAGTCAGGCGCACTTTACCTCACGGCTCCCTGACTGAGCCGTGCCATTGAGTGCGGCTCCCTCACGGAGCCGCGCCTTTGAATGCGGCTTCTTGACGGAGCCGCGCCATTGACAATTGGCGTATGCGGCTCCCACACGGAGCCGCGCCATTATCGAATGGCGTACGCGGCTCCCAACATAATCCCTATCACCTGGAGGCTGAGACAGGAAGATCAGAAGTGCAGGGTGAGCCTCAGCTGTATTGAGAAAATTTAAGGCCAGCCTGGGCTACTTGAGACCCTGTCTCAGCAACACAAAACAAAAAAAAAGGAGAACATTTTACTAAGTAAATGCAATTTGTTATAAGGGCACAAGAATGACTCCTGGGTAAAGATGAGCCCGGGGAATGGACTGGATCGTGGCAGCCAGATTCAGCAGTTCACATAGCTAACCATGGCAGCCTTTAGGAGGTAGGTAATATTATGGTCAACTCTGCTTTACAGAGAAGGAAACTGAGAAGTGAAGGTGCTTACACAATAAGTTAGTAGTGCCAGACTTCAAACTCCTGCAGTTTGGCTTTGAAGGCTGTGTTGTCAGTACCTATACATGCAGCCCCGAAGCCTGGTGGTGGAGGGCCTGCCTAGACCTTGGACTTGGACTTGATCCTCCACATGGCCTCACAACCAAAACTAAAAACCTGTGAAAAGATTGGTGCTGGGCGTGGTGGGCCCCACCTTTAGTCCCAGCATTTAAGAGGCAGAGATAGGTGAGTATTTTTTTAAAAGATGTATTTATTTTATGTATATGAGTACACTGTCACTGTCTCCAGACACAACAGAAAAGGGCATCAGATCTCATTACAGATGGTTGTGAGCCACCATGTGGTTGCTGGGAACTGAACTCAGGACCTCTGGAAGAGCAGATGGTACTCTTAACCACTGAGCCATCTCTCCAGTCCCAGGTGAGTATTTTTAAATTTGAGGCCAGCCTGGTCTAAATAATGAGTTCAGACTAGCTATGCAATAACTTATCTAAAAAAGAAAGGTGATTGGTTGGTTGGGTTAGCAGGTGTGATGACCGCAACAGATCCCCAGCCCTTAGCACAGCTGACTGCTTGGTGGAAACATCATTCAGACTGAAGAACTCATCAAGTAGACAGTCCCACCTGCCAAAACTGAAACCAAAGGCCTAATTTGATGGCAAAGTCCACAGTTCTGGGAATGTCTCTAAATGTACGAACCTTTTTCTTTGACTTCTGTAGTTCTGCTGCTAGCTAACTGTTCTTGTTAACTGAAGTGTGTCAGCCTAGGACATATTTTCTTGTGCTTAAAAGCTCACCCTGATGGGCAGTAGTGGCGCACGCCTTTAATCCCAGCACTTGGGAGGCAGAGGCAGGCGGATTCTGAGTTCGAGGCCAGCCTGGTCTACCGAGTGAGTTCCAGGACAGCCAGGGCTACACAGAGAAGCCCTGTCTCAAAAAAACCAAAACCAAAAAAAAAACAAAAACAAAAACAAAAAAAACAAGCCCATGATGTTTCCACTTTATTGAGTGAGTAGGCCGTGAGCCTTGGCAGTGTGGTCAAGACTTTATAAGCTGCAGAGTTGCACAGTGCCTTGCTTTAGCATTTATGTTCTGGAAGGTAGTAAAATCCTTTGTTAGTCAAGCCACTTTTAGCCAAACTTTCTATTTTTCTTTTTAAAAATATTTATTTAATGTATACAGGTGTTTTGTCTGTATGTATGCCTGGTCCTCAGCGAGGCCAGAAGAGGGTGTCTGATCACCTGGGACTCGAGAAATAGTGTGCTGCCATGTGGGTACTAAGGATCAAACCCAGGTACTCTGAAGGAGTCTCTGGAGTCACCTCTGTATCCTCCCCAGGAGACCCCGCCTGTGAGTATATGCTGCAGTGGGCATATGGAGGTCGGAGGACAGCTTTGTGGAGTTAGTTCTTGCCGCTGTGGGTCCCAGAAATTGAACTCGTGTCGATGGGCTTATATAGCAAGGGCCTTTCCACAGTGCCATCTTGTAAAGCATCTGGCAGAAACATCCATGGCCCCTGGTCCCCATCAGCATCCTCTGAAGAGTAGGCCATTCCTAAACAGAGGGGATGAGTGTGCATGTACATGTGGCCCCATTAGCTGGTCTCTTATTCCCAAGCCTTTCCCTCTGCTCCTCACATGCAGTCAGTTTTCTCCAGTCTTCTTAGCCATGCTATGGCAGCTTGGCCTGCCTACTTAGTCAGAGCCTCAACAGCAGTTCACACGTGTCAATAGCTCTTTAGAGACCTAGTCTCCCAAGAGATAGTGTCTTTGCAAACCAAGAGTGACTCTCTAGCACAAGCTAATAAATATTTTACAGGATGTATGGCTTGGGTCAGACGAGCATGTACATGCCTACATCTCTCTACTGCTCTCAAGAGCCTGGCCACCTTCCCTAACCCGAA